CTACCTTATACATATTTTTAAAATATTCATGAGATTTATTTTTAATCCCAACTCTGATCCTACACCACAGGTGCATTCTTGCATTCATATCTTGCATTATTTGTTAATTTCTCAGTGATAAACATGGATATGGTTACCTATAACATAATTAACTGTTAAATACCAATAATCATATAAAGTAATTTTAGAATTGCTAACCTATATTCCCGGAGAAACAAGTTTACCACCTAGTGTACAGTATTTGCAGATGGCTCTTTTTGTCTTAAGCTGCTCGTTTCCAGTTAAAACACTGCTTTCCAAAACTATCTAGGTTGGCTCCTTTGTTTCTCACTCCCTTCCGTGTAGTTATGTGAGTCATTTGTAAGACTGATTACTTTGTCATACTCTGTATTCTACTCTGTGAGGTATCTCTTACAACCTGACAAATAGCTTACAATTTATACCCAGCACAACCCACTTATTGTGATACACAACCTGCATAGGTTGTGTGCCTTCAACTCCAGTTCCAGGTAGACATCTCATTGCCCCACATTTCCCTCACATTGGCACATTTATAGTCACCCCCTTTTCTCAAACCCAACCCCAGGCAACCACTGATCTGTAGACTCGATCTCTGGTTATGATACTCTGGTGCTAGAATATCATGTAAACCACATGATCTTTGTCATCTTTTGTGTCTGCACTTAGCATAAGGATTTTTGAGATTCATCCATGCAGTTTAACTGTGTTTTTATTGTGGAGTAGTATTCTAGTTTAAGGTATTTAGGGGCCACTCTGTTTGATCTGTAGCTGAACAACAAGCTAGCCAAACCCTGCAGACTTCAGTGGCCCAAAGAATACAGACTTCTCATCTTTAGTTCAGAGAAATCTTTTTGGGTAAAAATGATTTGTTTAAAGATTTACACGTTGGTGGACATCTAGGTGGTAGTTTTTGTCCTTCTAGGAATTTATTCCTAGAGGCTACTTAATTTATTGGTATGCATTTGTTCCATAGTAATCCCTCGTAATCCTTCTGATTTCTCTAAAGCCAGTAGTAATGCCCCCTATTTCATTCTTCAATTTGGAAATTGCGATATCTTCTTGATGGGTACCATTTTATCACCATAAAAAGTTCCTTGTCTCAATAGTCTTAAAGTTTATTTTGTCTGTTATTAGTAGAGCCAGTCCATCACTCAGTTTCGAGTGACAGCCTTTTTCCCTGTATGGGTGATGCATCACTTGTTTTGTAATTTGGGGAGAAAACTATAGATTTAAAATAATATAAAGTAGCTATTCCCTTCCTCCTTTCCAGGGTTTGTTATTGCTGTTTGGCGCTGCTGCTGCTGCAGATTATTTGTGGATGTTTTTCTGAACTAATGATTAATCTGTATTCGTGGTTAGATTGGTTAATGATGTTCAGCTTTTCTATATTTAATGATTTTCCACCAATATGTTTTATCATTTACTGAGAAAAAGTATTAATGTTGCCAGTGATCATTGTAGATTTACCTATTTCTTCTTTCATTTCAATTTTTTTTTGCCTCACATATTTTGAAATCCTAAATAGTCCACAGAATTTAAATTGCTTTTAAAAAAAATATTTATGCATGCATGCATGCAAGAGCTGGGGTGTAGACCAGAGGTGTCAGGATTAAGAAGATTCACCAGAGACAGAATGGAGAGCAGAACAGGCTGACTGACAAAGTACACTGCTGAGGGGAGCAGCGGGTTAGACAGGAAAGATCTGCTATACCATGTGAGTCAGCTCTCTGGCCAGGATCAACCTTGTGCCACAGTGGCTGAAAATAGCTCCATACTGCTGCGACTTAATCCCTTGCACCACCAGGGAGGTCCAAGCATTTAAATTTTTTATGTTCTCTTGATGAATTGATATACTTATCATTATAAAGTATATAGCTTTAAGTCCTCCCTGGTGGCACAGGGGTTAAAGCACAGCACTAAGAAGCTAAAGCCACTTCTGCATGAGTTCAATCCCCACCTGCCTAGGAGGTGATTCACATGGGCTGCAGACTTCTCCTGACCCACCCGCTGCTCCCCTCAGCAGTGTACTTCATCAGTCAGCCTGTTCTGCTCCCCACTCTGTCTCTGGTGAAGCCTTTCACCGCCCCTGCTCCTCTGGCCTGTATCCCAGTTCTATATGCACAAATAAATAAATCTTTTTAAAAAAATACACACATATATATAGCTTTATCCCTAATAATCTTTTTTATGAAATTTATTTTATTTATTAGAATGTTCTAATTCTAATTCTAGTTTTCTTTGGATTTGTATTGTATGGTGTTATTCCCCATCCTAAAACTTTTAAATGTTATTACATTTAAAGTGGGCTTCTCATAGACAGTATATAGTTGGATCTCATTTTTTATTCAATCTAACAATCTCTGCTTTACAATGGGAATGTTTATACCTCATGGTTCCTTCTTCCATTTTTAAGGTCAGGGAGAAAAGCAGGAGAAAATTTATAATCCTTTGTCAGATTGCTTCTTTCTGAAGGCTCTCTGTAAACAAGGTGAGTACTAAGGGCATTTATTAGACAAAGCATGAACACTGTATACGCTTTCTTTTAAGACGTGATTTTCCTCTCCTGCTTTCCTAAAATCTAGTGGGAACAGCCTGATTACTACCAACTGGGGAAGGGAAAGAGAGTGTGGTCTGTTCCACTGTGACTCAGATGGGGCCTGTTTAGGAAAGAAACATCAGGGGAAGGGGTGGGGAAGGGACTACCTCTGAGGACACAAGGCAGATCAAAGAAAACCCCCTGAATCAGAATAACATGAATGTAAATTCAGGCTTTATGCTTTCTAGTCACAAAATGTGAGAAATTGATGTCTTAGGTTCTAAGTCCATGAATGGAAGTAATAATATCTACCCTTCATTTTTCATCTTCTTTTTCAATAGCTACCCTTCTTGATGCTTTGTGTGTGTGTTTTCTAAACTAAAGAAACTTCTCCCAAAGATGGTGTTATTTTAGGGAGGACAGAGTAAACATCAATTCTAAGCCATCCTGGTGGGGATGGAGTTGCTGATAATGATACAAAGAATTTGGCATTTATGCTATGGTAATCCAAACTTCTGGCTTTTAACAAGTGCAGGTATATAAGTGAAAGCCTTTCCTGCTATCAGGATAAAAACTCTTTCCACAATCTGACAAAAATTGCAACTCTTTCCAGAAAATGTCTCCCAACAAAATTCTAGGGAAAAGGTCATAGACCTTTGAACGTCATTCACGGACACTAAAGAATCCCGATTTGCAAACAACAGTAAATGAAGAGAAAACATAAAAGTCTAGTTTACTTAGTTACTGCAATTCAATTATGGCTAGTTGTATTTCCATAGCATGTGGTACAGAACCTATTTTGCTTACAACATCACACTGGATTTCCTATATGTTTGATTTGGTTGTAAAACTAAACTATTGTTGCATCTTCACATTTATTTGATGTTCCTGTAACTCAGTGTTGTATTCACAACTTTAAAGAATTTTTTTAAAGGTTTTTATTTATTTGTGCATACAGAACTGGGGTACAGGTCAGAGGTGCAGGGGCAGTGAGAGGACTCACCAGAGACAGAGTGGGGAGCAGAACAGGCAGATCAACGAAGTACACTGCTGAGGGGAGCAGCTGGAGGGTCAGGAGAGGTCTGCCAGGCCATGTGGGTCACCTCGGGGCAGGTGGGGATCGAACTCATGCGGAAGTGCTTTAGCTTCTTAGTGCTGTGCTTTAACCTGCTGCGCCACCAGGGAGGGCTCCGTATTCACAACTTTAAATGGAAAAATTTGAGGGACCATTTCTTAAGAGTTGCTATTCTGCCTCCATGTTTCATCTGTTGGAGTAATTATTCCTGAGACTGGATGTGACTGAATTCTTATGGAGTAATCTGGTACGTGGAAGGTTGAGAAAGACAGGCAGAGCAGAGATTCATTCAAATTTCAAAAGACAGATGAACTAGAAACCCAGTACCTTCACCAATTGCTAGAGTTCAACTTCAGTCAACCCTTAAGAAAGTCCTGGCCTTCACTAACTTAATTAAATAGAAATAAGCATATTTATCAAAAGATTTCTATGAAGATAAGGGATAATGCAGACAAAGCACCCGATGCTGCATTAGGGCCTACATAAATGGTGCCATTATTATGGTAAATCCTTGGTGTTACACAACAGCAGCTGTGTTGCCCAGGGCACTGGATGCTATATAACCACACTGGCATGAGATCCTTGAGTTCAGAAGACAATTGCTTATTCTGTTGAGGGAGTAGTAAATGTCAAAGGCTGTAATTGCTGACCTAGCCAAGCTTCCAGGAACCAAGACTCCAGATTATGGTGTGTTGTGCTTTGACAGAGGCAGTTCAATAAAGCATGACTTCTGAAAGGCACTTTGTTGGCTTTTCAGGAGGCCAGTGTAATTATTTAAGACCTTGCAATTACGGAACTAACACATGGGAAAACCAGTTCAATAATAACATCTTTTCCTTCCTTACTGTTGGCTTCTTTGTTTTTTGTTGTTGTTATCCCAGGTTCAGTGAATACCAACTGAAGGACTTAATAAACCTACTGATACTTGTCTTTCTTCCAAGAATATTCTTTCACTTCTGAGTAAGTTCCATCACCTTCCCTGGCTCCCTTGAGAAGAATGGGTGCATTCTGAAAATCAAGTTCACTGATTTCCAGACTAGTGGAAGTGGGGTGGGGCACAGTGCTGGTGAATTCGGGCCACCTGACCTGGCCCTCATCACCATTTCTGAGTCCAGATGAAAGGAACCCCAAAACTCTGCCTTAGTTCCCTCATTTGTAAAGTGCATGAAGTCCGGCCTCACGTGAGCGAGCTTTTTCGCCCACGTGGTGAGCGGTGAGGCGCGGATGCAGCGTGCAGGCCCCACCCCGGGCGAGCGGCGAGGCTGGGTCCGCGCTGGCCAGGCACCGGGGCCGCTCCGCGAAGCGACCGCTGCGCGCGCAGCGCCTCTGCGGCCTCCGGAACCCGCGTCTCCGTTGCCAGGGGAAATGGGGGCGGAGCGTTTCCCGGCGCAATGTGCGCGCGTCGCAGCTGTCATGGCGGAGAACGTGTGGAGCGCTGACCCCGGGGAAGCAGTTTATCGCTCCCGGGACCCTGTGCGCAATCTGCGCATCCGGTAGTCGCATCGCCCCAGCCCCCGAGCCCCGTATTTTATAAACCCCCAGACAGCTCCAGTCTGACCTTCCCCGCTTAGAGTTTTGCGCCCCGACTTCCGCTTAGAACCTGACCGCCGCCTCCCGGGTCTCCCTGCGCGTCCCGCATCTTCCTCACTAGTGCACGCTCCCCACTCACACAGCTTCCGACCCTCGCAAGTCCCCGCTCTCCCCTAATTCCTAGGAGCCCAGCCCACTCTCAGCCTCGTTCTATCCCCCACTTGCTTTCCCTCAGCTGCCTGCACCCTTTCCACGTTGGTAGGCCGGTCCTTACCTCGGATTACCCGCCCCACCCCCTCACCCGCCCCATCTTTACTCTGAATTATGTCCTGGTTGTGTGTCTCTAATAAGAATTTTGGGCTTCTCTTTTCCTGATAGAGTCCATCTGCAAAGAATCACATCAAGCAACTTTCTCCATTACCAGCCTGAAGCCCAGCTGGGGAAGGACCTCATAGACTTGGCCACTTTTAGGCCTCACCCAACCGCCAGTATGTGGTGATGTGGCCCGTGGGGACATGCCTGTAATAGTGGTTATCGCTTAAGGACAGAGTCCATCGTGGTCTGGAGTCTGAGAAAAGGCTTAGAGAGGCTGGGGTCCTTGCCCAGTTACATGACTGGCAGATGTGGGTGCCAGCATTTGATCCCAGAAAATTTTAACTGCTATTTTAAAATTATGTTGTATGCAAAAATTGAGTAAGATATGATTCCTGTCATCAAGATATTGATCTGAATTGTGGTCAAATGAACTGAAATAACAATGTCATGCTTGAGATGCATTATAACTTTGCCTGGCAGCCTAAGCTGTTTGTGGCATTCCCCCCCCCCCAAGGGAAAATGGGTTCCAACCTCTAAATATACACATTAACACTTTTTTTTTTTAAAGATTTATTTATTTGTGCATACAGAACGGGGTACAGGCCAGAGGTTCAGGGGCGGTGAGAGGCTTCACCAGACACAAATTGGGGGAACAGAACAGGCAGATCGATGAAGTACACTGCAGAGGGGAGCAGCGGGCGGGTCAGGAGAGGTCTGCCTCGCCATGTGGTCACCTCCGGGGCAGGCGGGAATCGAACTCTTGAGGAAGCGGCTTTAGATTCTCAGTGCTGTGCTTTAACCTGCTGCGCCACCAGGGAGGGCCACATTAACACTTTTTAAAGCAATTAGAAATTGGGTTTGGAAAATGTATATATTAACATCATCTGTGCTCTTGCCTTTTTCCATATTTGGGAAGCCAGAAGAGTAAGGAAGGAGGACAGTGTGCTTGTGTTAGGTCACTAGTTTCTGATTCTGTTGTTTCTGTTCAAAAATATTTCTGGGCAAGAGTGGGCTGGTGGGTGTGAAACATGTGTCTCTGAAAAAGGCATATTCAGTCAGGAGTGTGTTAGATTTGTTTCTTTAAAAAAATCATTTACTTGCCTCTTCTCTCCTGATAACTTGGTCTCCTAAAATTATAGTGTTTGTGATTCTAGATATATGGCTTCAGGAATAGTGAAGATAAAAATGTCAAGGTTCCTTTCTAGCAAGTGGAGACAACTGAGATGGAGGAAGCACTATTCAGCCTTAACTAGATTTCAGTTCCTGACACAGAATTAGATAAAATGATTTTTGGAAGGCACGGATTCTTTACTTATATTATATTATATTTATTTATTTATATAATAGTTTATATAATATATAAAATAG